TTATTTATAATATATTGATAGTTTTTATTAAGCCTTTGCCACGTTCGATTTATTGATTTTTAAATATTACAAACTTTCTGTTTGTATGTTAAAGATACATAAGGCTTCTTTTGATTGTATATACATGCTACTCTAATCGGATATCACGAGCGTTTTATTTCTTTTAAACTTAATACATATGAGCCGCGTCACGACAAAACCAACATAATGGGTTTGCGACCAGCATGGATCCAGACCAGCCTGCGCATCCGCGCAGTCTGATCAGGATCCATGCTGTTCGCTATCAGTTTCTCTACTTGTTATAGGAATGGTAAGCGAACAGCATGGATCCTGACCAGACTGCGCGGATGCGCAGGCTGGTCTGGATTCATACTGGTCGCAAACACACTATGTTGGTTTTGTCGTGACGCGGCTCAATTATTTAATTTGGCTTATTCACCTTTCTATTAAAAACAGTTTTATTACGACTGAAAGCAAACTTTGGTTTTAAAAATACTATTAATCATGTAAGGGTAATAATTTCTAAAAGTCAAAAAAGAGTCAATATTTAAACGCACCTACACCCAACAATAAATAAGAAATCCACTTTCTATAAGGTCGTAGGGTTGTATGTGAAACAAGACCACGTTTCTTTATTAATCAAATGGCGACTTGACATTTAGCAAGTTTGAAATAAATTTATAATCCAACCAAATAGACAAAACACCTAGTGAAAAGCCTTAAGAAACACCTATTTCACCGATGTATTTCACTTTTTGACTTACAATGAGCAAGTCATTGGATGCAAAAATATTTTCAAATTATATAAATAATAGCTGGCATATTTCAAACCTTGCCCTGTTTTTACTTTGTCAAGTATGCATTGTTTTGATTTCAAAAATTCAATAGAAATACAATGTACAGTAAACTCCACTTAAAACGGCATTGCTTATAACGATTTAGAGCTTACTCGAATCATACGATATCCGGATATAATTAACGATATTTGATAAATTCGGCGGTCTCCTTTAGCAATACTAAATACTGAACAATACTTTCAACCTTTCCATAGTCTCTATAAACATTATTTACATAGTAAAATAGAAAAAAATACAAGCATGAAGTGTCTTATTATTGAAAAAAGTCTAGTGGGGAAAAAATGAATAAAAAATGTAACATTTGTAGCATCATTGAAGGCGAGAATCATCATCATTTAAATTAAGAAATCACTTTTTTTAAAGATCAATTATTTAGACCCACGATTTTTCAATGTAAACAAATGGAAATTACTAAGCATCATAAAGTCTTGATAAAATTAAAGAAGTATTCCGAGAAAATAATACAATGAAATTAAATGCAACCATACGTATGCTCAGAAAGGAGTATATGTGTTTGTATGGTAAATACGTCATGTCAATAACAGAAATTATAAAGTTACTTTTATTCTTAAACAATTATTAAGTTAACCAATTTTGTTGTGTTAGTCAACAAAAACAAAATAAAGTTTAACTACTAAAAACTGCTTTACTTCTTGTATGTAATTAAACAAAGAATGCAACTGAACACAATTCTATTTTCTTTTAATACTAATACATGACATTCTAAAAACAAACCTACCCTTTTTACTTGTTAAATTATTCCTCCTTAACACTATAAAACATTAAAATGTGGTATATTTTAAAATAATTCTTAAAACCATATCTCCTTAAGTATTATATCATGCAACAACAAAAAATAACTTATCAAAACAAGCCATGACAATGAAGCACCTTAAAGGGGCTTACTGTAATCCATCCGTATATAAAGATCGTCGTCCGATTAAATTGTTTTAATGCATCGGACATTACGGTATTCGTCAATTTATTAACCGCTGATCGGATCACATGCTAAGATGAGCATGGAACGATATGCTTTAATGATAATATGAATGACATTGACCTTTTGAACTTCTAAAAATAAAGTCAGATACATCTCTGTTTTATATACAGATATGATCCTTGCTTCATCAACAAAACCGCTGGGGATTTCAGTGAAACTTCATAGGATTGTATTTAACCATGCCTAGTTGTGTTTTGCGCTTAAATTTTTTCGGCACAGTTATTGCCCTCTAATGGTAAATTTTCGAGTAAAATAAGACTGTCCGCGCTTCATCATCAAAACAGGTGGGGATTTCAGTGAAACTTCACAGGATTGTTTATCACGAAGCCTAGTTGTGCATAATCTCTTGATTTTTGTGCTTGATTTTTTTAAATTTTTTTTTTTTGGGGGGGGGGGGGGGGGGGGGAATGCGGTACAGATAGCTAGGCGCCTTAATGGTAAATTCAATTTTCGAGTGGAATTTTCAATAAGCTTGTGCTTGTCCGTGCAGCATCACCGAAACTGCTGGGGTGGGGGGGGGGGGGTTCAGTGAAACTTCACAGGATTGTTTTGTCAGCATTAGTATTAGTGTCTTGATTTTCCGCTTGAATTTTTGTTTTGACACAATGTCAAAGCTTCCTTTTGGTGACATAAGTCACTTTCCAGTGATAGCTCTTGTTTTACACTTTAACCCAACCAGAAACATAAATCTATAATAAAATGCAATATAATCGGTATGAAAACGAAAAGTTAGTCGTCATTAAGAAGTAAAAAAAACTAGATGTTTAGGGTTTTGGAAAGACTACACCACCATTCGAAATCATAAAATATGGGCATAAGTTATAGTATGTCCAATTTTAAATACATGTATACATACGTATCAGAAAAAAGGAAATAAATAGATAGGAAAATGAACACCACCACCACCACCATCACCAACAACAACAAAATAAGATCATGATGAGCCGCCATAAAGTATCATGCTGATTTATAGTTCGCCTGTTCCTTTTTTTTTTATAATTACTCTATTTAAAAAAATGAACTAAAGACAACGTGTGTTTATTAAATACAATGTTGAATTAACTTCCTGTTTTCTTTTTTGTTATAATATTATATTGTCTTCATTATTTAGTGGTATTTGATTTTTTGTTATTGCTTATTGTTATTTCATAATTTTTGTCATTTGTTTTTACAAAATTTCACGGAAGAGTATGCAATCTTAAAGGAACTCCATTGAATTCATAAAAGCCTAAAAATACATGAGATGAAATTCTTACTTAGAATAAGGAGAGCACTTAAAATGGAAATTTTGCAAAGGCAAATAAAGAAATATATCCGGATATTCAGAATTAAATTAAACCTCACCTTTTTGTGCGATTCTTAGTCTGATTTGAATGAAAATCTTGCAAATCTTTTCATATTTTTGGCTCGTTTTGCACAATAAAAAAAAACATTATTCTTGAAAAACGGGTGAGGGAATGATCTGAAAATCTCAAATAGTATGAAAAAAATCTCGAAAAATATTTCCGAACCCGTCATTCTGAAACAAATGAATGAAATGTGTTCTAAAATATTTAATTGAGCATCACACTGAAATAAACATTTCTATACATATTGTTTTGAATGCCATTATTATTATTAAGTCGATATACTATCGATAGAATATAAGTACTTAGTAAGTAAAATGTCTACAAACTATATCCACGTACCCGGGGTATGCGTATCGATCAATAGGTGTACATGACAAGTTCCGAAATTGTTACAAAAATGAGCAATCCGATCCTCCAATGGGTGCCTTCTATAACAATTTACAAACCCGTCCCTCGGATCATGTTGACATTCTTGAAATGAGCCGCGTCACGACAAAACCAACATAATGGGTTTGCGACCAGCATGGATCCAGACCAGCCTGCGCATCCGCAGAACACATTTCATTCATTTGTTTCAGAATGACGGGTTCGGAAATATTTTTCGAGATTTTTTTCATACTATTTGAGGCGGATGCGCAGGCTGGTCTGGATCCATGCTGGTCGCAAACGCACTATGCTGGTTTTGTCGTGACGCGGCTCAAATATTGATCAGAGTCGCACATTTTACTAAAGCATTTAATGGCGACATAAAACATTCCATATTGATCATTGTAATTCGATGGTGTTACTTGAAGCAGCCAAGTTTATGCGACTTCAAAAGAGTTAAGCTACATGTATAATATAATATTGATCATATATTGTATGTTGGACATCGTTACTTTGATAAATAATGCCGACGTAATAAGAATTCCTGCTCTAATATATAGAAGGGACTGAACCATGCATTTCGTCATATTTGCGTGAAATGAGAAGGGAATTGGTTGCGAGCAGGTGAAAGGGGGAGTGGGGGCAACCACGTACGGTGCCTTCATTTGTATATAAGAGTATTTTGGTTCTTTCTTAGTGTATAAGGATAAGGTAATGCATTTGCCAAGCTTTTGATTTAGAACAGTTCATTGATAATTTTAGGGATGTCAGTATGAAAAAAATACAAAAATTGAGCTACCAACATTATAGAGCCTGTCATACTGTGCGATGGAAGTGGCATCAGCAGATATGTTTCGGGAATGTTTCAGTGTTTCATGTTTGGATTTATTTATTTTTTGTATTTCTTATTTTTTTTTTTTTGCTTTGTTTAGTTTTATAGATACTGAAACAAATAAATCACCCACTTATCATATCAATGTATATAGGGTAACGATGCTGGTTTTATACAACATTTATTTATTCCATATTTGCTTTTCAGATCTTATTTCAAATGACATCTGAGATTTTGTTATAAAACTTCAATTCGACGCATAGTTACACCATAAAAGATATAATAGAGAAAATAAAAAAAAATGTATCAAATTTTCAAACCTGCGAAAAAGTCAAGTTATAAATAGAAAAGCAACGGTGTTTACATGTAGAATATGTAATTTACTCTGTTTATGTAATAAGGATAATGTTCTATTTTATGTATAAGTTGACTTGAAAGTCATTTTTTCCCAAAAGTATACATGTTTATCTTAAATGATACAAAATACATGTATGCCATTATCCACTTTTATTTAATTACGTACTTGTAAAAAAATAAGTTACTGAAAATAGTTTGCTATTTGAACTACATGTGATATGTAATAAAAAATTACTTACAAAGTGTCTCGTCAAATTACACCCATAAAAAGCATATCCATTTTTGTCATCTATACCCCATACACATTATTCATACGCTAATTATATATATATACTAGTTTCAGTGAATTACTTATGTTTATGTATCTACCAAGTACTACCTCTCGAACACTTCCTATTTCAACATACTAAAACATAAATGTCCTATAATATCCTACCTTTTATATAAACCCCATAAATAAATAATTCATTCCGAAAAAAATCGTGACCGTCTTATTTATAATATATTGATAGTTTTTATTAAGCCTTTGCCACGTTCGATTTATTGATTTTTAAATATTACAAACCTTCTGTTTGTAGTTTAAAAGATACATAAGGCTTCTTTTGATTGTATATACATGCGACTCTAATCGGATATCACGAGCGTTTTATTTCTTATAAACTTAATACATATGAGCCGCGTCACGACAAAACCAACATAATGGGTTTGCGACCAGCATGGATCCAGACCAGCCTGCGCGTCCGCGCAGTCTGATCAGGATCCATGCTGTTCGCTATCAATTTCTCTACTTGTTATAGGTATGTTTAAGCGAACAGCATGGGTCCTGATCAGACTGCGCGGATGCGCAGGCTGGTCTGGATCCATGCTGGTCGCAAACACACTATGTTGGTTTTGTCGTGACGCGGCTCAATTATTTAATTTGGCTTATTCACCTTTCTATTAAAAACAGTTTTAGTACGACTGAAAGCAAACTTTGGTTTTAAAAATACTATTAATCATGTAAGGGTAATAATTTCTAAAAGTCAAAAAAGAGTCAATATTTAAACGCACCTACACCCAACAATAAATAAGAAATCCACTTTCTATAAGGTCGTAAGGTTGTATACGAAACAAGGCCACGTTTCTTATAAGTTTTATTAATCAAATGGCGACTTGACATTTGGCAAGTTTATAATAAATTTATAATCCAATCAAATAGACAAAACACATTGTGAAAAGCCTTGAAAAACACCTATTTCACCGATGTATTTCACTTTTCGACTTACAATGAGCAAGTCATTGGATGCAAAAATATTTTCAAATTATATAAATGATAGCTGTTATATTTCAAACATTTCCCTGTTTTTACTTTGTCAAGTATATGCATTGTTTTGATTTCAAAAATTCAATAGAAATACAATGTACAGTAAACTCCGCTTAATAAAAACAACATTGCTTATAACGATTTACGGCTTACTCGAATCATACGATATCCGGATATAATTAACGATATTTAATAAATTCGGCGGTCTCCTTTAGCGGAACTATACTTTCAACCTTTCCATAGTCTTTATAAACATTATTTACATAGTGAAATAGAAAAAATACTAGCATGAAGTGTCTTATTATTCAAAACAAGTCTAGAGGGAAAAATGAATAATAGAAAATGTAACATTTGTAGCATCCTTGAAGGCGAGAATCATCATTTAAAAGAAATCACTTTTTTTAAAGATCAATAATTTAGACCTACGATTTCTCAATGTAAACTAATGGAAATTACTAAGCATCATAATGTCTTGATAAAATTAAAGAAGTATTCCGAGAAAATAAGACCATGAAATTAAATGCAACCATACGTATGCTCATTGCTCAGAAAGAAGTACATGTATTTATATGGTAAATACGTAATGTCAATAACAGAAATTTTAAAGTTATTTTTATCCTTAAACAATTATTAAGTTAACCACTTTTGTTGTGTTAATAGTGAACAAAAACAAAATAAAGTTTAACTACTAAAACCTGCTTTACTATTTGTATGTAATTAAACAAAAGAATGCAATTGAACAAAAGTCTCTTTTCTTTTTATACTAGTAAATGACATTCTTAAAACAAACCTACCCTTTTTACTTGTTAAATTATTCCTCCTTTACACTACAAAACATATTAAAATGTGGTATATTTTAAAATAATTCTTAAAATCATATCACCTCAAGTATCATATCATGCAACAACAAAAATTAACTTATCAAAACAAGTCATGACAATGAAGCACCTTAAAGGGGCTTACTGTAATCCATCCGTATATAAAGATCGTCGTCCGATTAAATTGTTTTAATGCATCGGACATTACGATATTCGTCAATTTATTATCCGATGATCGGATCACGTGCTCAGATGAGCATGGAACGATATGCTTTAATGATAATATGAATAATATTGACCTTTTGAACTTCACTTAAAAAAATGTTAGATACATCTCTGTTTTATATACAGATCGTTGCTTCATCAACAAAACCGCTGGGGATTTCAGTGAAACTTCGTAGGATTGTTTTTCACCATGCCTAGTTGTGTATACTCTTTTGATTTTGCGCTTGAATTTTTTCGGCACAGTTATTGCCCTCTAATGGTAATTTTTCGAGTAAAATAAGATTGTCCGTGCTTCATCATCAAAACCGCTGGGGATTTCAGTGAAACTTCATAGGATTGTTTATCACAAAGCCTAGTTGTGCATACTCACTTGATTTTATGCTTTTTTTTTTTTTTTTTTTTTTTTTTTGGGGGGGGGGGGGGGTAGGCGGTACAGTTATGGCCTCTTAATGGTAAATTCAATTTTTGAGCAAAATTTTCAATAAGCTTGTCCGTGCTGCATCACCAAAACCGCTGGGAGAGGGGGGGGGGTCAGTGAAACTTCACAGGCTTGTTTGTCAGTATTAGTATTAGTATCTTAATTTTCCGCTTGAATTTTTGTTTTGACACTATGTCAAAGCTTCCTTTTGGGGACATAAGTCACTTTCCAGTGATAGCTCTTGTTTTACACTTTAACCCAACCAGAAACATAAATCTATAATAAAATGTAATATAATCGGTATGAAAACGAAAAGTTAGTCGTCATTAGGAAGTAAAAAAACTAGATGTTTAGGGTTTTGGAAAGACTACACCACCTTCGAAATCATAAAATGTGGGCATAAGTTATAGTTTGTCCAATTATAAATACATGTATACATACGTATCGGAAAAAAGGAAATAAATAGATAGGAAAATGAACACCACCACCACCACCACCAACAACAACAACAACAAAATAAGATCAGGATGAGCCGCCATAAAGTATCATGCTGATTTATAGTTCGCCTGTTCTTTTTTTTATAATTACTCTATTAAAAAATAAATAACTTAAGACAGCGCGTGTTTATTAAATACAATGTTGAATTAACTCCCTGCTTTCTTTTTTGTTATATATTGTCTTCATTATTTAGTGGTATTTGATTTTTTGTTATTGGTTATTGTTATTTCATAATTTTTGTCATTTGTTTTTACAAAATTTCACGGAAGAGTACGCAATCTTAAAGGAACTCCATTGAAGTCATAAAAGCCTAAAAATACATGAGATGAAATTCTTACTTAGAATAAGGAGAGCACTTTAAATCGAAATTTTGCAAAGGCTAATAAAGAAATATATCCGAATACTCAGAATTAAATTAAACCTCACCTTTTTGTGCGATTCTTAGTCTGATTTGAATGAAAATCTTGCAAATCTTTTCATATTTTTGGCTCGTTTTGCACAATAAAAAACATTATTCTGGAAATGTGGGTGAGGGAATGATCTGAAAATCTCAAATAGTATGAAAAAAATCTCGAAAAATATTTCCGAACCCGTCATTCTGAAACAAATGAATGAAATGTGTTCTAAAATATTTATTTGAGCATCAAACTGAAATAAACATTTCTATACATGTTGTTTTGAATGCCATTAGTATTATCAAGTCGATATACTCATTTATTAAAATTACGGCTTGCGAGGTATATAACACTTATTAGGAAATGACATAAATGAAGGAGATAGATGTATGGAAATGAATCGAACTTTCAATGAACCCTACGCATTCAGTCGTGCCAAAAATGCATGCTGTGTATGTAAATCATATTCATTTATATCTTACTCAAAATATATGCATATTAGTCTATATGCATGATAATAAGATCAAGAATAAACTATTAAACACTTCATTGAAAGCTTGCTGGCGTGTGATCGAGCTATTTTTTTGCCATCTTCCGGGTATGAGTAAAAATATTTTGACGTGCCAAAGCAGGTATATATAGCTAAATTCTGGGATATTTTTCTTTGGTTCTGGAGGGGAGATTTCATGCTGTGTATGTTAATCATATTCATTTACATCTAACTCAAAAATTATATGCATATTAGTCTATGATAATAAAATCAAGAATAAACTATTAAACACTTCATTGAAAGATTGCTGGCGTGTGATCGAGCTATTTTTTTGCCATCTTCCGGGTATGAGTCAAATTTTTTTGAAGTGCCAAAGCTAAATTCTGGGATATTTTAGTTCCGGGTCAGAATGGGAGATATTGCCCATATACAAAAAAAGCACAATATCTTAAACTGGTGATGGGCAGTAATTTTGTTCTTGTTGATAAATGGGAGATTATTTATGATAATTTGACCATTATTGACAAGACAAATATGTCGAACGTTTGTGAGTACGGTTGGCTGTGTCAATGCGCCAAAAAGTCAAGGATAAGTCCAGATCGCATGAAACGTGCGACTTTACTACGGGTTTGAACATCTAAATGTCATATTCCATGACATTTCTTGGGGTAAGAACTGCTGCTTTTGGTAAAAATAGTCATAGAAATATAAGATGGCTATAAAATTTGTTAAACTTCCAGTGTCTAATATGATAAGCCCGCCTTTTTGTCTAAGCGTCTCACGTATGTCTTACAACTATGATACTAAAATGGCAAGAAAGTATATTAACAAAATATATATACATGTATAAGAGTGAGATTTGAGTTATACAAACGCTTAGATCTATTAATGCAACACGACAAAGAAATACGTACAGTCTTTGAGACATGCAAGATGTTTTGAACGGAAGGGAAGAATTCATCCGGTCTATAAATTCAACGTTAAATAAATTCAGTCTATGATGTATACAAACAATGGGAAGGGAAATAATTATACAAACAACGCACATGGACATCGTTCGATATTCTGAAGGGAAGGACATCTTCTTTGCAAAAAAAATTAAATTCAAATCTATTGTAGTTGCTTTACATGACTTGTTTTAAGCTCCACACCCCAAGTGTCTGTGCATGAATTTAGAAACATCCGCAGGTGTGTCCATACGACAGTAATCATTGAACCTTCAATGAGACATGTTAATTAGTGCCATTCAATGATAAGCAGCGTATGGTCCCAAAGAAAATTTTTCATAAGTTATAGCAGGGTCTTTCAAATAGAATGGTTCTATTTGAAAGACCCTGGTTATAGTTAAACAATTTTAATTTTGTTCAATTTTTACTTTTAAAATTTAACGAATTTAAACAAGATTCCTTAAGCATTTAGACCGTGAACACAATGAATTGTTTATTTATTAAATGATAAATAACATGATAAAGGGCCACGCACCTCAACTGAGGTCTAAAAGCATAAAAAACATAATTGAGCCGCGTCACGACAAAACCAACATAGTGCATTTGCGACCAGCATGGATCCAGACCAGCCTGCGCATCGATCTGCGCAGTCTGATTAGGATCCATGCTGTTCGCTTACCAACTCTATTACAAGTAGAGAAACTGATAGCGAACAGCATGGATCCTGATCAGCCTGCGCGGATGCATGTTGGTCGCAAACCCATTATGTTGGTTTTGTCATGACACGGCTCAATTTAATTTGAATAGCATACATACATTTAGATCCACTCAGTACCTTCACAGATACCAGTATATAAACAATCTTCTATTTAACTCCATGGTACCTTTTTAAAAACAGGTTATTTTCTTTCTAATGCATCACGTTAACTCAATTGATTTTTTAAAAACTAATATAATATTAAAAATAAAGGTAATATTTTACAAACAGATAATGCTCAAGTCATGTATACGCTTTGTGAAACAAGATGATTAACTCGTGCATACCGAATTGGAAGAACACATTTAGTTGTTCCCCTTGACACAAGAGACGGAAAACGCCAAATCCTGGACATGTCAATTCTTGTAGAATTATTATCATAACAAAATTATAGATCGTATTACTAAAATAACTTTCACATAGGACTTTTTAAATTATAAAATGAAAAGTGATTTTGTTTAACATTATGCGTATGAAAATGGAAATAACTTGAAATTGAATGTTGACAAGCTGCATACATGTGCATCTAATGAAAACAAAACATTAGTGAAAGTAGCTGCATTGTGATTGGTCGAGATAATTACCTATGAAGTGTGAGAGCCAATCGGAATGTTGTTTTCATTCGCTTTTGGTCGTGAAGCTCTTCCGCTGCAGAAAGAACAACAAATTTTAAGATTTGTAAATTTTATTTCGTTTTTACCTGGCTGTACTTTTAATTTTTTAAAGTTTCGATTCCCTAAGAATGAGAAATTAATAACATAAGCATTTTGCAAAAAATGGCTGAGAGATTAAGTCAAGAAAGCCGTTTAAAAGTTCGAAGAAGTTTAGGCAGAAATGGTGAAGGTGGTCAGATGCAAAATTTACTTGGGGAATTCAAAGGATTGTATGAGGGAAGGTTAAAGCGTCTCGAGGAAGCTGATAAAAATGGGGAAGACAATTTAAGAGTAAGTATATATGCTAATAATTCCCGAAATTCAGAGGTAGACTGACCTGTTTATTTCTGTGTCAGTCATGTCGACTGTGAGCAGATTAAGAAATTAGAGCAAGTACATGTAAGAATGGTAATATGAAAAAGGCAAAGCCTCGAAGCGAGCTCGATTTTCTTTTACCGTAAGATAGTTTAAAATAATCTTTCATTTTTATTTTACATTTTCCGTTTTAAAATTGTCATTCGGTATTTTATACACTGCTTCCGTTTATTCTGGTTCCTCCTTTCTATTATGGTTCCTATATAAGTGCGCAGGACACCAGTCTACGCTTCCGTTTTCAATCAGAGTACATCGGCTTTTATCGTTATCTTGTAATTCGAAAAGTTGCGATGTGTCCAATTCGGTACTTCGGACGAAAGTTTTCAAAACCATCACTTAGCAGGTACTCGCGTTACCATAAAGCTTGCTTTGCGAGCAGGCCCTTCGGGCCAGCTCATCGAGCTCGCTATTATTGTAGGGTACTCCACATGACTCATATCAGAAGGCCATGGGTTTGAAGGGCTCTTGTGGCTTCCGCTACATTTGTGCCATTATGGGTAAAGGCACCCTTAGTCAGTTGGCACGTTACTTTATTCTGCTGTCAAATGTCATCTTGGTCATTTTAGTTACCAATTTTGAAAATGTGACCGGAAGGGTAAACGGTTCACTGAAAATAATGCCATTAATTGTGGCTGGAATCTGTCATGTTGGTATTCATTCATTGAGCATGCCATGAAGTAGAATAAGAATCCAGGTCAACCTGGCCCGAATCATTTCGACCCGATACCAATTTGGCACAGTTCAACGCGGCCCATAATTATAATTATTAGTACTGGTCACAATAACATTTACATTTTTTTATATGTTTCATCATTACTTTCTTTGTTAAACATTTTCATGTTTATGCAAATAGATATTTCAAGATTTTATTGCATTTGATAGAAGAATTTGAATTTGTAGAGAAAGGAAGAACTTGTAGAGTAGATTATGTTTTATAGAAAATATTGTTTAAACAGCATTGGATGTTACAGAAAACAGAGTTGAAACAGTGTCAGTATGATTATGTTTTTTTGTCAAATGATTCAGTCTGAAAAAAATATTTATAGATCAAACATAATTCGTCTCGATTTGTCTTCTCTGCAATTATACTTAAAAAAAATTCAAACAATACGCTACAAACTTTTTTTGGTTTTTGTTTGTGATCGTAACTCTGAATAATTTAATATTTCATATATTATATAATGGTTAATTTCTCCATAAAAAAGTTTCTTAATGAAAGAATCTATATCCTGAGACCTAAAAGGATAGAGAGCCAAATTTACCCAATTAATTCGGCATGAACGGTTTGACCCATATTACAGACTGCTTTTTTCATACTTTTAAGACATCGCCAGTTCAAAAAATATCTCAATGTCTCTTTGACAAGTCTAATCAGTAGGACTTAATTGACGTGTGCTGAGTTTGTATAGGCCGGAGTTGACCCTGTACCATGAGAAACATTTATGTTAATTATAATCGTTTAATAAGCCCTGAAACAGTCATCTTGGCCCTTTACCAACGTCATCTTGGCTCGGGTCAGTTTTAACTTGAATTTGAAGTCTCAACTTTGTTATTTTGACATAAGTATAGCCTTAGAATTAATGCACCATTCAACTGTCAGCCTTGTCCCCTGTCCTGGGGATTGTGTAGATAATGACCAGAAAATATTATTTTCTAATGGACTCCTTTTATGATAAAAGTTTTATCTAACTGATAAATAGCTAGGTAGATCATCTATGTGAAGTAATCCTGCAAATAGAATCAACTCAATACAGTAGAATTACACCCTATGATATTGTAAAAGAAAATTGTAGCATTTTTTAATGTTAAATAAGTTGGTGTCATACATAGATATTTAACATAGAGGATTTTGAGTTAGTATGATTAGAGAAAAACATTGGTATATAACCTTAAAACTCAGTAGGTTTTAGTGAATAAACCAATATTTTATAATGGCACGCCACAGGGAAAATAGTCACAGGCCAAAGAATAGCATTAAGTCTATAAGATGTGGACATGTTACACATAATATTTAGTGGGCAATCATGTGCGACTGGGACTTAAAGCCAGATAAGTAGTGTGTTTTTTTATTCAATCAATTAGTTGCTTGCAGCTCTACAGACTGAGAAGACTGGCCGCTATAACCTCTATCACATCAGCCGCATGAAATTTGGTTCGTACAATTTGTAGAGAAATATGTGCCGTAGAAAGGTCGCAGGCAATTTCGCAGTCTATCTAGACAAACTTCTATATCTGTTATTTGACATCATTTGATTATGGTCCATGGTGGCCACAAGATGCTTGTGGTGAAACCTGCAGTCCTCGCAAGACAAACACAAAATATTTTTACATGAGAACCTCTAGAAATAGTGAGTTTGTCTTACGACTGTCTTGAGAAGTCCAACATCTGTCAAAAAATCGCAGAAATAATGTGCATGTTGGGAAAACAGTCTTTGACGTTGTGGCTACCTTGCAATCTTAAAGAATTCGTAAGAATGTCTTAGGGCTCCCATAAGAAAAGCAGAATTTTTGTAAAAATTCGTTTGTATGGCTGCTGTAAGGCTGATGTGATAGAGGCCTAATATATTTTCTCTCCATATAAGTCAAGATATTAGTAAAAGATAAAACTACACATATTTGGCAGTTTGCTTGACCTTCAAAAAATTGTAACCAATTTCCAAATTGTAATTTTGTTATTTATGGTACATTGTGTACATGTATGTATTGTTAGTGTATGCATGTTCCGGTAATACAAACACATGAAGACATCTGGTTAGCTCAATATAAGGTAGAGCGTTGAGACTTGGGTTCAATTTCCGGACGGTGAGTGTCAACTCAATACAACTGTCTATGTTTTACCATGGTAGTTATAAGAAAATTAGGAAAACATAACCAAGTCATTAAAACATTCCAATTTTTAAATGATAAATTAATGCGCATGTATAAATAGTGTTTTGTTATGATAATATAATTTATAATTACATGTATAGATAAATATATTTGCCTTAAAATTAAAAATTAGCTAATTGGAAAAAAATCTCGAATTCTTCTCAATTTTATTCAATTATGGATTATAAAAAATCTGTCAACTGGGAAAAACTTCTTAAAAGCCAATAATCAGATTATATGTCATGCCAAAAAAATCCTGCTTAGCCCTATTCATGGGTCCAGTCCTTTATTAAAAAAAACAAAAAAACTGTCGGGTAACTGTATGATCTTGATATACAATATTGTGTTTGTGTTACAAACAGTTGTATGTCAAGATTTTTTCTTATTTTAATATACAGAAAACTTCAAAATAACTCATACTGTAATTCGATTCTTCAAAAATCTCTGATTATTCCACAATTTTCTTTTTATTAATATACCGTAACAGTTCTTTTTTCTACACTACAGTTTAAGGTATCAAGATTTTGAGATCAATCTGATAGTGTAGTGACTGTTGTTCGTTATTACTTGTTGGAAGTAATGATAAATAATTACAAATTTGTCAATAAATTTACCCTTGAGGGAAAAACAAATTCATGCCTAGGGTTTAATTGCAATTCATTAATATTTAGACTGCAATTGTAAATGGTAAATAGCCGATAGACAGTTTAACAGGGCGAAATTTTAACAATAGAGATCGCTTTAATGATTTAAAGAAATGCCAGAAAGTTAATAGCATAAACTTTACAAATAAAATCCGGTTTACTGAAATCGGACCAGGGTAAATACAAGTGTTATACAGTTTAGAATAAATAGCTTATATACGAATAAAGGATAAAGTAAACTCTGTTGTAACGCTGAATAATGTGGAAAATAATAATAAAGATTCACAGTTTACCCTTTAATGCAGCTTGAAAATTGATTTTGTCTATTCAAATGAATATGTTTGAATAATTTTTCTATCATTTCTTTCATTATTAACCTATTTGGTTATTGAATTTCTATGTTTATTCATTCACAACATTTGTAAAATAGTGGTAAACACTGGCACGCATCTGTTAAACAGTACAAAAATAGGAAAACATGTACATGTTTACTGAAAAAGTTTGAATGTTATGCTCTGTTTGAACTTAATGCTTTAAAATTGTTAGATTGGATAATCAAGCACAGTCTGCGTTGTAAACAAAGACATGCTGCTGAAATATACATACATATGAAAGCTGTCATCAGCAGTTCATTTTTATGCACTATAAAACCTATCGTTAAAATACTACTACATTGTATGAGTATATCAGTTTTCATATAGAAAATACATTTATTTGTAAGTTAGATTTCAGGGCGTCCATGGCCGAGTGGTTAAGGTCGTTGACTTCAAACCACTTTCCCCTCACCGCTGTGGGTTTGATTCCTGACAGGGACTTTGGGTTCTTTCATGTGAGGAAGCTATCCAGCTAGCTTACATGTACGGAACGTCGGTGGTTCTCCTCGGGTTCCCGTTCGTGCCTGAAATAATGCACGGAAGGGCATCTGAGGTCTTCCTCCACCAGTAAAGCTGGAACGTTGCTGTATGACCTATATTGTGTCTGTGTGACGTAAAACCCAATTAAACAAACAAACAAAGTTAAGATTTCAACAAATTTCAGCTTAATTGTTTATTTACTATACTGTGTAGAGCAAAAACAAAAATCAGGTTTTCTCAGAATCATATTTTAACCTATGCTTGTAATTTTTAGTTTCATATAAATGAAACAGGTTATACATGACTGTATATTGAAAGAAAATCATGTTCATATTTATAATATAACTCCTGGTATATGGTATGTTGAAATTACCCCATGTTCCATGTTAGGCTAAGATTCACTATATTTAATGCAGAAAGATTGCCTTACGAAATATGTTGCTTTTGCATGATATTTCAATGTTTTTTAGTCAAAGGCATTGCAGAAATTGCAAAAAATGTTGTTGTTGTTTATTTCACATTTCTTGAATGTATGAAATCTGTTTTGCAGGCAAGGGTCCGAGTCTTACAAGCATATGTCAATGATCTGAGTGAACAGAATGAGGTCCTTGTACAAACTGTGGAAGAATTGGAACGTGAAGCTAATGAGAGAGTTGAACTGTTGGAATCCAAACTACAGAAAACATCTGGCACACATAAGGTAAGGGTGCAGGTATCTGAATAAAAATGTTGTTATCTATTTTTGTTTACAGGCAACAAAGCCTGCTTGTGTAAGAAATAATACTTTTTTCCTCCACCAGTAAAGCTTGAAAAGCTTTGGTAGGACCAAAATGTGATAGTGTGACTTAAAAGCAAACAAAACAAAAAAAAACAAAGGATTCTTGTTCAGTATGACCATAGCCAGGCCATTTGGCATTTCTTTTTACTAAAAATTATTTTTTTACAAATCTTATCTATATTCTAGATGCTGTGACAAAATTTTTAGGTTTCATTTACATTATGAATGCGCCTCATAACATTTTATGGTGAGTATATTTCTATCCCCTAAATTCACATAGAAGACTTGTTATCAAATACTGTTTTCTAATCTTTTGAAGAGTCTTCAGAGAAACACTTTGATAAAGAATATTTAAGTGTGTTTCCTGGTTGAAAGAGACTCGCAGTGAGTATCTTAAAGACATGTGCTTGATAAAAAAAAGACTGTGGATTCAAATTTTTTTTTTAGATTAGTTTGTTTTAATTACCAAAACATAAATGTACTGGTTTCTTAATATTGAAACAGAATCAAAGATTTTGGTCCAACATTATTGTCTTCGTAATATGCTCAATTCACAAATATAAAAGGGAGGAAACTCTTGTGGAAATTGTAGTCCGATGAACACATTGATTTGTCGTAGTTATGTCCCTTTATGGCAGTCTGGTTTTATTTACTTTAAATGTGTTTCAAGTTTATTCTTGTCTTTAAAGTTTGTGTAAGACTGTGGAAGATATTTAGGGTTTATTTGCCTTTGACTCTTACAATGTCAACTTTAATGATTCCTTTATAAACATGTATAGATTAAATCCTATTGATTTTGGGAGAAACAAAGCTGTGCCCGAGAATACACTTATAAAACTTCATGGGCATAAATATGGGTTTACGATCAATTATTAATTTGCTGGAGGAATGACATAGAGGGCAGTTTTATATTGTTATAATAAAAGATAATGATTAATGCTTTAAATTAAATAAAGGCTTAATAGAACATTGGAAAACAAGATGAAAATGCTGGATATCGTATGAAAGCTCACAAAAGCCTTTGAGTGAATATTTCAATACCTTTTTTGTCTGGATGGACAAAACTGTGGTTTTTCATTTTGATATAGAAAAAAAAAGAAGAAAACTGAATAGGATAGAATATTTTTCATAGATTAGATTAATCCTTAATGTGTGGTCATGGGCACTGACTTCAAAACACTTGCTGTCACTGCTGTGGGTTCAGATTCTGTCAAGAACTTTGGGTTCAAACCATGCCAAGGACTTTTGGTTCAAATCCCTGTCAATGACTTCTTCATTAATGAATCATTTCTTTCATTTAAGAAAACTAACTTACTGAACTATTATTAGGTTGATGGTTCTGCTCAGGTGTCCATTTGTGCCTTAGATTTAATATGGAGGGCACCTTAAGTCTTCCTCCAAATGTAAAGTTGAATATTGTAAACAGAATATGTATTCAGAATAACATGAATTGAGGTTAAATTGACTTCAAGTTAAAACCACTTGCCCCTCACGACTGTAGGTTCGAATCCTGACATGGACTTAGGATTCTTTTATGTGTGGAAGCTATTCATCAGTCATCTAGCTTGTGGAATGTCGGTGGTTCAGATCAGGTGTCTGTTCCTGAAATAATGCATAGAAAGTCACCTGATGTCTTCCTCCACCATTAAAGCTGGAAAGTCGCCTTTTGATCTATATTCTTTGTTGGTGTGAACCCAGCCCTCTTCCCCCCCCCTCCAAAAAAACTCCAAAAAACCCGAATTGTGACTCGGAGGGCATTTATTATGTATCTAGTGCTGCAGTTACACATTCATTTATGTACAGTAGTAAAAGTACAATACTGGAAAATATTGATAACAAACTGATCAAAGCTATATGGCAGTATACGATAAATTGTTTGAATAATGTATGTTTTTAAAGATGTGTCTCAGTGAAATTTTGTTCAAATAAAGGAAATTCTTCTTGTCGAAGTTTTGAAACTAAATCTGACAGATCATATAGACAGTGAAGAATGAAATGAAATGTTCGGATTTATTTGATCTTTTATTTTTTTGGTGAATGTCAATATCTAAATCGTAAAGTAAAGATTTTATAGAGCTACCAACAGTACATGTATAAAGTCTAGTCTGACTTCACGGAGCGGGCCTGGCTCTAAACTGGAGTAGGTTCAAGGTTAATGCCCAAAGTTAATGTATAAGTAAAAGCCAGTCTGCACATCAATGCAATTTAAGCAGGCTACATAAAGTTGGTTAACACAATATTAGAACTTTTTGATATTGATTAAAATTTCTGAAACTGCTATTATTCTGCTTTTCTATAAAAGAATTTTTCGGGAATTTTCGTAAAGACATACATGTATAGCCAAACTTTAAAATTTGCCTATATTTCTAGTTTGTGAAAACTCCGGAAAACATCCTTAAGGACATAAGTCCATTGCATAAACTTGGCATCATAGCATTTTCTTTTAAATCAAATTCAGTTCATCAATGCTTTGATGATGTTTTAGATGTCACAAAGTATTAAATTTTATTTTCTTATGTAAAAGAGTAGCTAAGTAATGCAAGTCCTTTTAAAATTAGTTTATGTATCAGCCAATTTGACCAGCTTGGTAAGGTGTACTGTATGGTACAAATAGAGGTATCGGGTTGACAATCTACCAAAATCTACGTAATTATCGATATCAACTTCCAATATCAAGACTTAATTTGTATTAAACATCCAGGTTCAATTAAATACTTTGTCAATGTAAACGGTGGGTATTTAGTGGCCTTTATACGTTCAAAAGGCGGCTGTGTTAAATGCGTGTAAGTGCATGTCCGTTAAGAAATGTCCGCACTTCCCGCGATAGGAGATAAGCCAGATAAGAGTTTACCTGTGCTTAACATGTAATCAGTAATGATTTGAATGGGGGCACTCTTTTTACCGTTACTTTCAATAGTGAATAAACACAAAAGGTAAAATCGAACAGGATTAAGTTTTGACGGTAGAAGGAAATCCTGCTGGTAGTGTATTATGGGATATGTGTAATTCAAATAGCGACTGTGGTAATTGGATGATTTTTGACAATGTTTTGATTTTTCGTAATAATGAAGTGATAATCACAGTGTGTACATTTTATGGTGACTTATATTAGTGTTTAATTGGTGCTTATTTTATTCTTTGGATTTTATTTATTGCTTGGTGTTCTTTTTTTTTTAAAAATCAGCATGTATATACAAAATGTAGTATAGATGCTGATAATGTAAATTTATGGAATAAAAAAAGGAAAAATGTGGTGAAAGGATTCTGATAGAAAGGAATTATCATAAGAAAAGGGGGCTATGGAAGGAGATAGGAGCTTTACAGGAAGTCCGGGCCTCTCAAAGAAAGTTACATGGAAAGAACCGATTGAACAAGCGGTAGGTCTGATTTGTGTATGATGAGGATAATTTCTGAAAGGAGGTTTCAAATTTTTATACAGACAAATGAAGTAATGTTGTCTCTTAAGTGAAGAAATGGGTTAACTCCTTATATAATATAATTTAAAAGGAATCGACCTGTTACTGCACTAATGTGATAATATACTTGTATTTTCATATGACATTGAAAGTATAATGTACCCGTTTTAAAATTGGCTTAAAGACATCTTTTAAAGATACACTTGTTTAGTTTTTTTGTCACAATGTATTCTTTATGTAAATAATTCATGTGAGAAAGCTATCTGGCAAGCTTACTGAAATTTGTATGTGTAAGTCATCATCATCAACATCAGTAATTACCATCATTGTTTTCTTTTACTTCTACATCATCATCTGTATCATCAAAATTACAGACATTTATAACACACTGACCATCATCATCTATTTCATTATAGTGATGATATTAAATAAATCATTGTCATCATAATTAGCATTATCATCATCATCTTCATCATCATCTTCTTCTTCTCCATCATCATCATCTTCTTCTCCTTCTTTTCCATCATCATCATCATCATCTTCTTCTTCTTCTCCATCATCATCATCAGCATCATCTTCTTCTTTTCCATCATCATCTTCTTCTTCTCCTTCTTCTTCTACTTCTCCTTCTTCCTCTTCTTAACCATTAATTATAAGTGATTATTTACAGTGATATATTACTTAACAATTTATTATGTCATATATAAAGTTCACCATCATTTTCATCATTTATACTTTCAACTGCTGTTAATATATGCATATCTGATTCCAAAATGCACTGACTGTATTTACTAAAGACATTTCACGAGTATAGCTTACATGTATCTCCTAAGTGAAAGCCCTCGGTTGATTTGTATCTAGAATAGATTTATTGTGGATTATATATTTGATCTTGCTAATGATTAGAAAAAAAAATGTAAAGTTATTGAACGGTTATGTCAAAAAGTCATAATGCATTCATTTTGCAGTGGAGAGATATTAAATAATAAATAGAAATGAGTGAATAGAAATGCAAAGAATTGAAAGGTCTTTGAATGCAAATGTATTTAAACTTGTCACAGTGAAATCAATAAGGTCCTTTCAGGTTGTTTTTTTTGTAAAGAAAAATTGGAAAAAAAATGTTTTGAGTGCACAATTGCATATGGAAAAATTGAAAAATGAAACATTAGGCCCTGTGTCAAGGAAATATAATGAAAAGAAACATAGTTCGCTAAGATTAAAGATCAGGATCAAGATAGCGTATGAAATTTTAAAACAAATTAATTACTATGTTTGAGATGTTGCTTGAAATCCAATCTTGATCTGGATCGTAATATTGATCTTTATTTTGATCCCGATATTCTTGTGTTATGTATCGTTATTTATCAATTTTATCCCAAAATAGTTCATCAGCAGTAAATTTTGTTTTGTTAACATTCTGTTATGTACCAAATCATTTTAGCCTGCTATATTTATGATTACTTCATACATGTGTGTATAAAAGTTTAACCTTTTCCCTTATATAAG